GGAGCTGGCGAGTAGGATGTTCTGGAAGTAGACGGGGAGGTAGAAGCAGGAACCCAAGAAGACGGTGGAGTGGCAGAAGTTGATCAGTAGGATGATGAGGTTGTACCTATTGGAAAAGAGCGTCGTGGGAATGATAGGGATCTGGGCGATTCGGGATTCGTAAATGAGGAAGAGGCCGGCGGTGAGCACCCCAAAGACGATAAGACAGATGATCGTGGGGGAAGACCAGGGATAGAGCGAGCCCCCTAGTTCGAGGCCAAAGAGAAGCATGAGCGTCGCGCCGACAATGAGACCCAGTCCGATCCAGTCGAGGGAGAGGAGGCCCGCCCTGAGAGGGGTGAGAGATGCAGTGTGCAGTTGCAGGAAGAAGAGAAGGCCGAAGAAGGCCAGGCCGCCAATGGGGACTGCGGATGGGGTTTAGAAGACAGGCAGCTGGAGAAGGAGTGGGAAAAGGGACGAACGATTGATATAGAAGCACCATCGCCAGGTCGAGTAAGTCGTGAAGGCGCCACCGATGATGGGTCCGATGGCACCAGCAATCGCCCAAGTTGCCCCGAAAATCCCTAGGTAGGCAGATCGACGACGCACGTTGAACATATCCGACACGCAGATATTGGCTAATACAGTGATGCCACCGCTGCCTACGCCTTGGATAGCGCGACCCGCGATGACCATGTTGACGTTGATTGCTACGCCGCAGATTAAGCTGCCGCCCAGGAACAATGCGACGACTGTCATAAGGATCGGTTTGCGGCCCCAGATATCACTGATTCGACCCCACAGCGGCACACAGGAGGCATTGGCGAGCAGATACGACGACGCGATCCAGGTGTAGGCGCTGTCGGAAGCTTTGAAATGGGCGACCATCTCTGGAAGAGCGGTGGAGACAATAGTCTATGAAATCATGAGAATTTGCCAAGTAGAATCCGATTTATAGACACCTACAATGTCTAGCGCTGCTAGGAAAACGCACAACTGTGCACAAATATTAGGATGTGTATGATAAGATACGACGACAGTTAATTATATGGACTTGCGTACACTCAGGGATGTCATCACAACGGCGACCCTTTGCTTGCTCTGATGATCAGTGGGAAAGTCATCCTCAGCTGCTTCGGTAGGGGCATCTTTTCCCAGATCATGCTTGAAATGGTTGGATAGGTTATGGTCCTCTTCTAGGTGTTGGTACGGTCGGGGAGAGGGATCTTGCTCCGTATTGACAGCCATGTAACAGAGACTGGCGTGAAGAATTGAAAGAAGAAAGGAATGTGAGAGCTCTGAAGAAGAGGGAAATGCAATAACAAGTGGAAATGATGAACGAGCGGATTCGACTAGGTGCTGTGCAGAAGAATAAAATATCGGAAAAAGCTGTGGTGAGATAGTCTTCCCCGGACAATAATCATCAGAGTCCAGAGGACTTAATATGTAGGCAGCACTCCTTGACACCCTCATGGGCAGCATGTGGGGAAATGGATCGATCATCAATTTACACAACGTCATGGCTATTCTAGGCTCTGATCACGATGCTGATTACTGGTTGGATCTGTCTGTGTCTAAGGTGGAGAAGAAGGAACATCAAGAAAGGGGCAGCAGAGAGGGTTTGCGCTCGGCACAGACATAAGCGATGTCTGGTTTTCTCTACTATGATACTAAACTATTCTATATGGCTACTATTCAAGTTAGTTATAATTCAATATAATATGTTCATTGATACAAGGGGTGTGCCTCATAAAATCGCTGTATCAGTCCTTTACTGGAATGACAGCATTAGGGGGACGGACCCAGTTGGAAAAGGTCCTACTGGCCGATGAGCCGCTCGGCAAATCTACAGGAAAAAATTCAACACACGTGGCCTGCAATTGTGGGCCCCAATTCCCTTTCTCTGACTGGTAAATTTAAAGCCGGAATTGCCAGTAGACAATCGACACCGGCCCGTACCGTGAGATGGGAAGAGAGTTGCGAAGAAGCTTGGCCTCGTTACTGGATAAGCGGGCCATCCACAGGCCTTCTAGCAGTCGCGCATTCGAATACCCTAAAAGCAAAGACCGGTTTTCCCGCCCCTAAAGCCCCATGATATTGGCTGCACATGATTAACCTTTCAAATAATATTCGTAACTCCGCACCCTACAATTGACTCCATCGACTTCTCAGAGTCTGAACTGCAGCCTTTGGTTTCCTATCCCTGGTAAAGACCCCCTTCTTGTTCCCGTCCACCCTGCCGACCCCTACGACCGCCTGAAAGTCCGCAAAGTTCCAAACGTGCTCTCCCACCACTGATTCGACACGGTCAAACACTCGATGGTACATGTCGAGCAGTTCGACCTGGAACTCCTCGCTCCACGGAAGCCCAAGCACCGAATGGAGGCCAGCCAAGGTATCCGCCCCGTATTCTGTCATGACGATGGGTTTGTCGTATTTGCCCTCCCAGCCCAATAGCTCTGTTTCGAGAGCCGCTTCCGCCTCCTCAATCTCACCGGTTTGCGAATACCACCCGAAATAGCGGTTGAGGCAGAGGACGTCAAACATATCCGAGATTCGATCCACCTCATATGTGGCGTCTCCGTAATTTGCAAAACAGATGGGGCGATCTGAGTCAAGCTCGTGGGCCAGGTCAACGAGTGGCGTGAAATACTCACGGGCTCCTGCTTCTTGTGATGCAGGCTCATTTGCAATCGACCACATGACAACACTGGCGTGGTTCTTATCCCGAGCAATGAGCTCCCGGATTGCTTGCTTGTGAGCTTCGCGGGTGTTATTGTTGATCCCTTCCGGGGTAAATGTCTGTGGGCTGTCTTCGCTAGAAACTCCAGCCCCAATGGAGTACGCCAGGCCAACGGCGGGCGTCTCGTCAATGACAACGATTCCGTGCCGGTCCGCAAATTCCATGACCTCTTCGGCGTACGGATAATGCGAGGTGCGGAATGAGTTGGCTCCCATCCAATTCATCAACTGGAAATCGTGCACCATGTACGCTGCGTCATAGCCTTTGCCGCGCACATTGCTGTCCTCGTGCTTCCCAAAGCCGGTGAAGTAGAACGGCTTGTCGTTGATGAGGAATTTGTTACCGCTGACTTTGACTGTACGTACGCCCGTCGCAACACTATAAGTGTCAAGTATACTGTCGTCCAAGCCCACGATGCTCACCCGAAATTGATACAGATATGCATCTCCCGGCTGCCACAGCCTGACAGAGTCTATTGTAACATTACCATGAGTACCTGAAGCTTCGGCCACAGTTCTGCCGTCCTCATCGACCACGTCGATCTTGATGCGCTCTGTAGTCGCGTTGGTCACCGTGACGAGGTATTTTATCTGCCCGGTTGCGCCGTTCACGTCCGTGACGACTTTGATATCCTGGATGTGCTGCTTCGGAACAGAATACAGCGAGACGGAGCGCGCAAGTCCCGCGTAATTGAAGAAATCATGCTGGTAGACTTGCGTCTTTTTACCTGTGTATTCCAATACTTCTATCCTGCCTGGCGGAATAGTCTCGTGAGTCAGCACGTTATTGACAGCGATAGTCAGTCGGAAGCTGTCACCAGCAGAGACAAGACTCGTGATATCTGCTTCAAAAGGTGTGTAGCCGCCCACATGCTCGGCGACTAGATGGTCGTTTATATAGATACGACCTTTGTGTGTGGCGGCATCAACCCGCACGAGATATTGCTGCTGTGACCAGCCTCTGGGGACAATAGCTTGGCGCTGGTAGTAAACCCATCCGACATGGTCATGGATCTGACGATCGACAAAGATGTCGTTATAAGAGGCTGGAACGGGACACTCCAGATCGGTGGCTAATGGAGCTGTCCAGGGTGTCGCCGTCTCATTATCGCTGGAACCGAGAGCAAACTTCCAAATCCCGTCGAGGGAGACTATATCTCTAAAAGGTGTTTGTTGGGGCTTCAGCATTGCTGGTCTCTGCTGGACCATTTGACGTGGGTGAATAAGTGAAGGGTTAGAAGATACATGCTGAATTAGGGAAAGTATTGACAATCCTAAGAGGACCTTCATCATGACAGAGTCAAGGGAGAAATCACCAGTTTTCTCGACATCGCCAGGAGTAGCTACATCGGTGACGACGTGAGCTGGTAATTGGTATTAAATGATAGAAGGCGGCAATTGACTGCCACACCGTCGGCTGTTGATGCACTTGTCATGTTATTGCTTGGCAAGGACTAATTCTTTAATTCCAACAGTAATATCTAGTCAATGCTCCCTTGGCAGCATTGCCAAGCACATGTCTCTTTTATTCTTTGCAGATGTGGTCCCGAAATGGACCCGAAGAGGGTCCAGGATGCAGCCAAGAACCAAAGTGCGGAGAAAATAGAGTTTGGTGCCCTCCAACCCGATGGATACCGTCATCATCAATTGCCGACCAAGGATGGACTTTCTTGAATGTCTTTGGAGAGCATGATGCTTCCAGCGAGGCGATAGATGGCGACCCTAATTGATATCAGTCCTTATACGTACCACCTAGCTGTGACTGTGTCAGCTAGGTTGTATTATATTTGAAAGTACTTGACAATAATAGTCATAGGAATTGCATTACTCACCTTCGCAGGAATACTTGTCTCTTGTCATTCCATTGAACTTTGGACTCTATTATCATGGAAATGCAATTCTCCCATTTGCGTCGGCGTAGCGAGGCTAATATGAAGAAACCTTAGCCTCTCACCAAGCATTCTACATCTGATCATTGAATAAAAAGCTTCACCTGCGGTATTATAGCGGTACAAATAATGGCTGCAATTTTCATTGACTGACCCGTTTCAATTACTTTTGAATCAATCGATCAACTATTGGGTCACAAGGAACAAGGACATGGTATCAGGGGGAATAAGATGTGGCATTCCATGAGAATGGAATTTTTGAGACTGAGATCAACCAGTTGGGCCTTCACGGCCGGATGCGTGTAGCGACGAAGACGTAAGCGGATGAGTCGAAGATGGTCAAAGTGAATTTGGGTATTTCTGGTGTTCACAGATGAACAGCACTAGGAAAAGTGATGAGCAGTGGATGAACCGGCTGAACTACGTTGACCACGGCCGGTGAAGTTAAACATTCATCCATGACATGCTATACCAATGCATTGAATGCACATTTTTTGTGCGCTGATTAACGCAACGCACTGGGCGTCACTGTGTAGAAAAATATTACATTCACCTTTGGGGTAAACTACGTAAACAGATTGGGATATTTAATCCCACCTTTTACCCCCCCGAAATGCCTTCCCCTTTCTCCTCTGAACATGATCGTTGAATCCCCCAATCTGATGAGATGTACCTGGGTCTTACCTATTATACAGATCCGGGCACTTCCCGTCAACGTCAGGTACTCCGGCATATATAAAGGTCTCCGTGTTGTCGTTTGGAATCTTCCTACCACTCGGCAACATCGAAACTCAAGTGTTGATCTTTTACATTTTTACAAACATGTCACAATGGCGACACCTCCTCCCACAGATACAACCTCACTTGACAAAACAGTCGGGAAAAGAGAAGAGCTCCTGAGCGACACAGCAATGACAATTCTAACTCAACTTAGTGAGACATCGAATATCTTCTTCCAGCCATCCTGCACCTAACAGGACAGACCTTTCTGTTATTTCTCACTCATCCTCGTTGCGGACATACATCAGTTGGCAAGTTATATGTACTGGGCAATTTCGTGCCACGGTGGCTGTGTGGAGTTTTCATCGAACTGTACAATGTCCATTTTTGAATGGGATATCGCTATATTCTACGGAAATGGACATGCTCGGGCATTAAGATCCATCAAAAGACCGCAGACTTCTAAAAGCAATTATATACATACTGGAGTTACAGAGGAGTTACAGAATTGTCTAGAATCTCAAAAACGGACAATCATCCATATTGAACAAGACGATGCTTTAAGTGACCAACAGCATGAATCACATATGATTATTCCCAGAATGAAAGCCCGGTTGGAGAGCCGCAAAGGATGCGGGTATTTCGAGAGCTAAAGGGAATAGGACATGTTGACTAGAAAGGGAGGGCCATGGGAGAGTTGATGAGGTAGCACAGTGGCTTCCACCAGCTCTTCTGTTGTGGATTATCTTGTGTCTGAAGATATGTTCTGGTGAGTCGACTTTACCACAGCAAAGGACTGCGATTAATGCTGACCGAGATTAGCTTCTTGATAGTGCTCTGCTACGGCCTAACAACTTCCAGTACAAATAAAACCGAAACTGGATGATTATTGTCTTCTTGTTGTGACGTTGAGACATTATGAGCACTTGTTTGCTGTTATTGGGAGAACATGGCTCTATCAGACATCCAAATTTACAGCAGCAGTACAGCTTTAAACTCAGTTAAGACATTGATTACCGGATAATGTCTTTCAGGAAGGAGAATAGTGGATGCACTATCATTTTTGCAGACATGTGATGATCATAAATATATTTTGATATGATGACTGGGCTGTGGCTCGCATTAGAGCTTGGTTGTGACTTCTGAAAGGTACGTGAATGTATTACCCTTCCAGGAGAGAACGAGAACGAATGAACAATTCACTTATCCAATACATGTTTGCTAACTATAGAGCACCTTAGGCTCACATGGCACCATAACATGCTCGATATTGCTCGCTGCCACAAAATATCTTTGTTCACGGCCATGCACTCTGCCTGGTTCACTGGTTCACAGTCTACCTACTTGCTGCCCCACATTATAACTTGCTCGCTGCCACGAGCTCTCTTTGTTTACAACCGGGAATCCTGCCTTTCTCGCTGCCGCAGAAGGATCCTACTTCATAGGCTTTCCGTATACAGCCTACTTCTCAGGGAATTGGCCCATATCCTCCCTCACGAATGGGGTTGCTCCAAAGGTATAAAGCCTTTCTCCCACCATGTCGGTTGTCTCGCTTTTCTTTACTCTCCCAGTTCCCACTGCTCTGCTCAGACATTGTTCGTAACAATGGTTTGGGACGAGTTGGATAAGGTTTTGCTAGTCATAGGTCTTATTGGCTTTGCTATCGTTCTCAAAAACGAGGCACCCAAGCTTCGAAAGTGGTATCGCAAGCGACAGGACGCCAGGCCTGATCAACCG